GGCGGACGCCGGGCAGAGCCCCCTCGGAGCGGGCACGGTCCCTGGGCCACCCCGTGGCATCCCCCGCTGCTTCCCGAGTCCTGCGGGGCCGGGAGCTGCCAGCCCTCCCAGAAACTCCACGCTCAGTAGATGACCTCGTAGACTGTGGCCTTCTTGTCACCAGAGCCCGTGACGATGTACTTGTCATCCGCTGAAATGTCACAACTTAAGACGGACGAGGATTCCTTGGACTGGGAAAAGGGGGAAGGAGGAGGGGAGAGCACCCGTCACTTTGGTTTCCCTGGCTCGCCAAGCGCCATTCCACGCTGGTGGCATCACCGCATCCCACAGGCTGGGCACCCACCCGGCCACCCCAAGAGGATCCTCCCTCTCTCCAGGGCTGGCAGCCCCAGGCATTACACCAAGAGGGGGTCTGGGTGCATTCCTTGCCCTTCCCAAGAGGCTCCTACCTGGAAGATGCTCGCTCCGTAGGGCGTCCTCCAGGCGTTGAGCAGGTTGTCTTTCCCAGTGCTCACAAACCATTTCCCTGTTCCCAGGAAACACGGTGTCAGCAGTTGCACAAACACTGCCATTGCCACCCCTACAGACAGATCCCGGGGCCAACCTCTCCCTGTCCCACAGGCTTCTGGCTGTTTGACCTTAGAAAGTGGCCATTCTGGAGAAATGGGAAAATCTGGAGATTCCCCAGAGAGGCTTGTCCAGCCCCTCTCCACTGGGACACATCCCAGCAGTCACACGGGGCAGGTGCTGCTTCCCTGCAACCTCCCACGATGCCACGTGGCCACTGGCGACCACAGCTGGGGTGGTTTTATGGAGATACCCCCCAAATGCATCATCCACGGGATGGATCCTACTGGAAGCATCCTTGTTCAGCCCCCCCACCATTCCACGCACCATCCCTTCCTCGTGGGCATCCCTGTTTCCCATCCCTGGAGGATCCCTGGGCCGGGCTGAGGACAGGTTGGAGCAACCTGGGCTAGTGGAAGGTGTCCCTGCCCGTGGCAGGGGGTGGGAGTGGATGTTCATTAAGGTCCCTCCCGAGCCCAACCATTCCATGATCCCCACCCACCCCCAAAGGGACGGAGCTCCAGGCGGGAGCCGCTTACCGCAGTAGGCGAACTTGAGGGAGAGGACACAGCTCTCGTGGAGGTGCAGCTGGTACTTGTCGGGCTTGGTGTGGTGCAGCACCTCCACATTGCTGCTCTCCATGCCCACTGCCAGCCACTCGCCCGTCGGGCAGTACCCCAGGGAGAAGATCTGCAGCGGGAAGTGGGACACGGGGATGCTCAGGGGATGCTGTGCCCGCCAGCTCTGCCCACAGCCCCCCAGGGAGGGCTGGAACTAGAGGGGCTTCAAGGTCCCTTCCAATCCAGCCACTCTGGGATCTATGGCAAGGGTGGAGGTTGCTGGGCAGCCCCAGACTGGGGCAGCAGGTTTGGAGAGGCACATCCATGTGTTTGGAGCAGCCACGTGAGCTGTGAATGCCGGGATGGCTCCAGCCCCCTGGATGCTGCTGCACTTGCCAAATGGAATCGAGATTCCAGCTTTGCCCCTCTGGATCAGGGCTCTGGGAGGGTCTGCTGGAGGAGGCAGGATCCTGGTCCCTGCAACTCCCCCACCCACAGGGCACCCACAGAAACCTGTTACATCCACAGCTATCCCAAGGGAAGTGCTGCCTTCCTAATGGCAGCCTGATTGTGCAGGGATGGAGAAATGAGGACAGAGAAGCTGAAACCAGATCCAGGGAGCCCCACGGCTCCTACTGCCTCCGACACTCCTGGGTTCCACCAAACACAGCAGGAACAGCCACGCTCAGGGCCAACAGGGCCATTTTCCCAGCAGGAAAAGCCCCCTCCCACAGCCCCACATGATCCAGCTGCCAAACAAGCTGCCCTGCTTTCCATGGAGGGATAAACCCCTCCGTGGGGTCTCTGCATGGCAGGGCCAGGCCGTGCCCAGCCCGTTACCTGGGAGGTGAAGTCGTGCTGCTGGAGCTGCCGCCCTTCCCGCAGGTCCCAGGAACGCACCGTGTTGTCCAGGCCCCCCGTCCACAACTTCGTACCATCGTGGGAGATGTCTATGCAGCTGGCACCGTCTGTGTGGCCTTGGAATTGCCTGTGAACCAGAAAAAAATACGGAAATCTGCACAGGGAACGCTAGGAAAAGCACGGAGGTTGGTTCAAGGTGCTCAGACGTCATTTGTGAGTCTTATCCACAGCAAACACGCCTGGAAATCCATCCAGGAACATCCTTTGCTGAGGAGCTGCAGCATGAAGTGCACTGGGCTTGCTTAAAGATGAGCACCACAAGATGGATGGTGCAGCACCAAGAGAGCGTTCCTGCCATCATTCCATATCA